TTCTATCAATCGAAAGGAGACTGCGACCACACCAGAGGCCACAACATCTTGGTCTTCATATATTCAATGACGAAATGAAATTTATTTGATATAAAATAAATAAAAAATTGAAAAGTAGTTACTCATAACCTGGTGTGAACATTGCATGTGTCACATTAAAGCATCACTATGAGACTGGATATTGTAAATATCGCATATGATATAAAGTACTTTAATAATCATTTCTCCTTGTCTCCATAGCTCGGCCCATATTGTCTGGCCAGCCCTAAGAGCTGTTGATTGTAATGAGCATGCCCGTCGACATCATTCCAGTTTCGAAACAAGTACTTCTTTGCTTGACGTTGTATTCCAAAGATCACATGCGCTGAGATTAAAAAAATTCGTTGTCGCCATCTTCTTTGAGGTCCATGCTGCCTTTGACGGTGGCAAGAGAGGCTGTAGAATATGGTCTGGTGCGATGCTCCAGGCTGAAAGTCCTAATCCTGAAGGGTTTTGTAGCAGTTATAGCTTGCTTCTTCATGTAAACAGTGATTCTGAGAATGAGGCACATTTTATGGCAGTCGCGGTTGTATGTAAACCAGGATGGCTTTTACGCTGAAAATCACCGGTCCTTTTGCGTCATAGCCATCGGGAGAGGGCATCAACGCAAGGCTTTTTGCTAGGTCGAGTTCTCTTTCATCTCAATAATGTTGTGTGTGTGTGTGTGTGTTTAATACTGACGTACCTTTTTATATTCAGCTTCAATGGGACTGGCACAAAACGCTGTATCCGGAGTCTTTGGAGAGAGGGAATACTTCCTCTACAACATGCCGCTTCCCAAACCCTCTGACATCAAAAGCTCCTGGAACGGGTCTTTTAAGCCCTACTTTTACGGTTTCGACATCACCGAGTCGGTGGCGATCGCGTCAGCCCTAGGAATTATCACCAATTGGAAACAGTACCAGTCCAAGACTGTCAGCGACAGCTACAACTCTCTGATTGTATTGTCTGCAAATCGAGGTAAGTAGTCCCTCCCACTGGCTGGCTCATATTTTCCCACTGTCGACGCATGCATGCGCGCGAACAAATGCAAATATGCATATGGGCATATATGGAACGATTCGACTACTTTCAGGTGATTCATGGCATGCTATCAGCCATAAGACTGATAATCATGTGGTATCAACTTTGTAGAATGGTTAGAAGACAAAATAGCCATTTGTTAGTAGAATAGGTGAAACCTGTACATGTGTTCATGCTGACGGTGGAATAGCCGGGGGATAGCGGAGAACGGAGAGGTCTGGAACCGGGCAATCGAGACAGCTTGCGGAAGGAAAGTGGCTCAGAGGCACAGAGCAGTCACTTTCTCTGTGCAGGACAAGAGCGGTCCTGTGCAGGTGGAGTCGACAATATGCTCGTTGAAGGACATCGACACTGGATCAGCGCAGTCCCCATTACGCGAGCGTGCACACTAGTATGACAGACAGCATCAGAGCAGGTATCCATACTTCACGAAATAGAGCAAAAATATACCAAAATGAGAGAAAATGTGGCCTGCTGCAACCATAGTCGCTTTGCTATATTTTTCCTATATAAATAGAGTTTCGAGTCTACCAGTAAATCAGTAATATGAGATCTATTTACCCAATTTAGTTTGAGTTGATGAAGGACTGGTAGTAGAATTATCTCACAATGATATGAGTTTCCATTGAATTTCCCAAAAGTTATTCTCATCCAGGCACCAGTGGACTGCAATTTCGACCTCGCATCGGTCTTATCAACACCCTCAGCGGGATTCGAACCGCGACAGTGCAGAATGTGAGCTTGACACGTTGCGAGCTTAATGAGGCATTGCGTGATTCGATATGCTTGCAAATGGATAAAGTTACGTCCGGAACCGGAAGTGACTTCGATGGTAGCTGTTTCATAACACAAAAACTACCGTCGATCGCCTAATGCAGAATCATGTTTGGGCTTGCTCTTTTGTCTATGGTGTGTACATAATGTCTTCATAGAAAGTGATAGTCATAGCTAGAGTCGATGCTAATCCAGCCTTATTCTCTTGTTCACTCGCTCTTCTAACTCTACGAAGAAAAGTTGGGTTTCGAGGAATCTCTTGTTTCATGATTGTTGAGCTTACTTCCATTTCAAGTGAAAGTGTTGGCGGTGAAGAGATTCGAAGGTCGGTTCCACCAGAAGACGACGGCGGATTCCTCTTGACCAGCTGCCGATTGG